CCCCCAGTGCCTGGCGGCTCGCCGCGGCGGGTCATCGTGCAGGCGTCCACCGGCGAGCTGCTGCGCTGCCTGGGCGACTTCGTGTGCCGACGCTGCTACCGCCTCAAGGAGCTGAGCCCCGGCGAGCTGGTGGGCTGGTTCCGCGGCGTGGACCGCTCGCTCCTGCTGCAGGGCTGGCAAGACCAGGCCTTCATTACGCCCGCCAACCTGGTGTTCGTGTACCTGCTGTGCCGCGAGTCGCTGCGCGGGGACGAGCTGGCGTCGGCCGCCGAGCTGCAGGCCGCCTTCCTCACCTGCCTCTACCTCGCCTACTCCTACATGGGCAACGAGATCTCCTACCCGCTCAAGCCCTTCCTCGTGGAGCCCGACAAGGAGCGCTTCTGGCAACGGTGTCTGCGCCTCATCCAGAGGCTCAGCCCGCAGATGCTCCGGCTCAACGCCGACCCCCACTTCTTCACCCAAGTCTTTCAAGACCTCAAGAACGAGGGCGAGGCCGCCGCGGGCAACGGGGGTCCACCAAGCGGGGGCGCGCCCGCCACCTCCTCCTCGGCCGCCAGGGACAGCTGCGCGGCGGGAGCCAAGCACTGGACTATGAACCTGGACCGCTAAGGGTACCGGGGGGCCGCGCCCGATCCCCGCCCCAGCCCGCTCCCCCAACCCCCCCCATACACACCCGGAATCCCCCCGGGACCATCAAACCACCGCTGCTGTTAACCACCGCTCCGCGCCCAGGCTGGGCCTAGGAGGAGCCGCCCCTGCCCCGCAGGGGAGGGTGGAGGCTAGGACACCAGAGGCCAGCGGTGTTTGGATTTACTGGGTGTGGGGTGGGGATGGGGGTGGGGGTGTGGGTGGGAAGGGCAGCCCCAACTGCACCCTTTCGGTCTGTCTGCGCCCTCATCTCTCCATTTTTGCCCCACTCTCCCCTTTCTCGGCTGTGCACGTCTGTAAATCCATCTCCCCTGGATCCTGTCCGCTTCCTCTCTCCTCCTCCTCCTTTCTGTACCTTCATTTTTTCCTCCTGTCTGCATTTCCATTTCGTAATCTGCCTTGCTATTGAACATTCCTTGAGAGAGAGAGAGAGAGAGAGAGAGAGAGAGAGTTCTATCATCACTTCGCCCTGAACCTGACCACCCAATCGCCCCTGCACCTGTGCCCCTATCCTCCCTTCTCTTCTCCCTTGCTCCGGTCATGTGTCACCATCCTTTCCTTCTGTCTGCCTTTCCCCTCTGCTTCTGTCATCCTGCATTTCTTCTGAGACCCCATACCCACTTCCCCAAATCCAATGGACCCTTCGTTTTTCATTTGGATGGACTGAGGAGCTTCAGTCCCAAGTGCCCAGACAACCTCCAGGATGGTCCCTCGTCCCCCCCCCCCCCCCAGCCTCTCCACACAGCCTCTCCCCACCTTTTCCAACGTGTTGCATGCTGGGAGTCGGAGGGGGAAATGGGCTGCCGGCTTCATTCAAGAGGCTGAGATGTGGGGGCACAATCAATCTGGGACATCATCCCGGCGGCGGTACCCCTGTGGACTGGTGGAAAGAGGAAGAAAACCCTTCTTATTGTCGGGGAGAGGTGCCCCTCTTCCTTAGATTTCATATTATCTCACCCCTTTTAATTTATTTCTGCTGTTTCCGAAGGGAGGGGGGTGGGGGTGGGGGAAGGCTGGGCCGGGAACTGTCCGAGGTGCTGAGCTGGGGCGGCCCCGAATCCTTCCGGGAGAGTACCAGGGACTGGGTCGGGCCTGGGGCCGTGTCCAAGGTGCCAATGATGCGGGCCGACGGCGCGGGCCGCACCGTCTCTGTCCGTCCTGAAGAGAACTATAAAGCGCAGAAAGCGCCTGCAGATGGTTTTGCGCCGGCCTTTCTTTGGGGTCCTGGGTGGAATGGAATGGGAGCGGGAGTAAAGTGATATGGGGTAGAGCATGGAAGCAAGAAACAGAGGTCTAGTGAGGGAGGTTAAGTCTCCTGAGAGAGCTGCTACCCTTTTCTCACCCCCGCTGACTTTTTACAGAGTAAAGTGAGGTAACCAAAGGCTGAATCCACCCCACCACCCCAGCCTCCATCTTGTTAGACCTAGCTCCTTATTAATGCCCGGGCCACTTAAGGACAAGTGGTAAGGACGGCAGAAGATGTTCCCATTCCACGAGGTGACCCGTTGAGACAGAACTAGCAATCAGAAATAGCTATCACCATTTTTCTGCACTGTTCTCTTGTCACATATTGGGTCAGGAGTTTTCGTCAGACCTAAGTCTATGTTTACCAGTCTCAAGGTGCGGCCTGATTTACCACACTTGCCCTTTCCCTCTTAACCTGCCCTCACCCCCCCCCCCACCGCCGTGACCAACCCTCCCTCTCTCCCGGGAAATCTTGTGAGGCCCATTCCTTTTAAGACACTCAGACCCTATCCCTTTATTTCTGGGTAGGAGCAGGTACTGGCAGAAACAAAATGGGAGAAAGAAAGCCATTAATTGGGGTTCAAGAGGGAAAAGGCGAGGAATATGGCCTAAGATCTCTGCTCAGTGCCCACTGCCATCTCAGCTACAGAGTTAAGCGCCTCGTTCACTATTACGTTGGCCCAAGGAGGCCGGGCTTCAGGTGGAGTGCTTGCAGGTCCGACCCTGGACGCCTGTGTGGCCGCGGAAGACTCCAGAAGCCCCCAGCAGGCGAGGCCTCTAGCTCGCTGTCCGTGGTGCTGAGAGCACTCCGCTAGGGTGAGGGATGTACCACAGGAAGCGTTGGGACTCGGTCTCAACTAGGTCTTCTGGATAATTTAGGAATAAGGTGTGCGTTTTTCTGGTGTCGAGTTACAGAAGTCTTGGCCCAAGAACCCAGGAACGTCGCCTCCCGCTTTTACTCCTAGGGCCTGGGCCCAGGTCCTAAGCACCCTGCCTGGAGCCGGAAATCCACAGTCCAGATTTGTGAATTGAGTTCCCGGGGGGAGGGGGGAGAGCTGGCGGAAAGGGAGGCGGGAGCAGCCGCCCATTGGCTGGAATTTGGCGCAGTCAGCGCGGTGCCGTCATCTCTTTGGGTTTGGGAGGAGGGAGGAAAGGAGGAGCAGTTGGCTCACTACGCGGCTGTCGCCAAGGTAACCAGACTGCGAGGGCGGGGCCTTCTCTCTACTCTAACCTCTGCCTAAGAAACAATCCTGGTTCCCTTTTGAACTAATCAGTGGGACTACTTGATTGGAATTTCTGAATTAGGGGAAACTAAAGACCAGAAAGCCTACAGAAATCCCCAAACATCCTTTTGGGAGGACCCTGGATACTCCCCGCAACTCATAGACCTGGCACCTTTCCTTTTTTTACACATGTGTGTACAAACACACCACACACACAAACACACCGCACGTGCATGAGTGCACCTTCAGGAACCTGTGGTCTGGCATTAAATGAGGGGGTGAAAAAAGCTTCAGTGAGTACTGTCACTTTCTTTTACCATGTACCCCAAGCTGAGACACCGTTGTAATCTTATTAATGGAGAGAAACTGGAAAAGAATCAACAGGAGTAGATGGAAGATTTAGCCTCCAGGGTAAAGTTTCATCTCGTTTTTTTCTGGGAGGGGGGCAGTGGAAAGAACGGCCCAGAACTGTCTTCGGAGAAGGCAAAGGGATAATGAGTCATGTCTTCTCTTGACTGCCGGTGAGTGGATTGAGGAAAGTGAGTCCAGGGTGGTAGTATAGCAGTGAGGAGGGACTAAAGGGGTAGCAGGGTGCTAAGCCTTTGTTCTGCTAAGAGTCATTTGGGATATTTACATCATCTTGGGGCCAGATCTACTGACTTGATTTGGGAAAATAAAAGCTCCTAGATTTATTGAAGATTTTAGTCTTTTCAAAAAAAATATAAAGGTAATGTACAGGAGGGTTACTGTTTCATAAGCCAGGTAATGAGTGCACTTCTTTTTGGACAATGTCACCTGATTTATTGAATTTTGAGTCCTGTCTTCAGTTGCTTTGACAGGGTCAGACCAAATGATTTAGAGGGCCTTATATGGTTCCAGGCTGTGGTTCCCCACTTCTGCAGGTCTGGGACACATTGAGGAAAGCAAGGAGATGGAGGCCTGGAGACAGAAACACAACTGGAGCCATGACTCAGCACCTCCCCACCTGCAGAAAATGGAGGCCACTCTTCCAACATGGGCATGGGGGAAGAATGGAAGGATGGCAGGAGAGCAAATTGATGGGTAACAAGTGATCCACCCCTTGGTACAATATATGCACTGACACATAACCAAATGCTCAAATTATAACTCAGAAGCATTACAACAAATGCACTTACTGCATGAAGGTTCAGACACAATTTACACACACCTCTGCTTCCTGTGTTCCCTGCCACCCTTCCTGGAACAGAGGACATTCTGTCCTCAGAGCTATGCTTGTCTGTCCCTAGAATACCTTGGTGTTTATTGGAAAAAGGGAAATGCAAAAAACTCTCAGAAGTATGGGTGTATGTGTGTGAGGGTGTGTTGCCATGGTAACTTCCTGCCAAGCAGAGTGCCCAGCAACCAGAGCATCTGGCAGTATCTGAGAAGACATCCTATGGCCTCTGTACACTGAGACCCTGCTGCGGGCACACAGATGGGCATCCCTGGAATATTTTGACAACAGAGCCACCAAAGCAGTCCCTCCAATCAGGAATAGCTGGAAGCCAAATATAAAATAAAATATATTTATTATACAATGTAAATATTATATAACCCGCCTCCCCATGATTGCTACCCAGGGCCTCCTTACATATGACAGGCAGTTTTGCAGTAAGTGGTCCAAGACAGTAGTGATAACAGTTCAAGACCACAGCCTATCTCTGTCAGCATCTTGCTACACATCCTAAGACACAGAAGTGTAAATGGCAATTAAAAAAATGGTTTTATGTGATGAAAGATTAGATAAAAGACAAATTTCAAGGTACAATCTCAGAAAGTTTAATACATCATGAAATTTTTGGAGGCAGGTCTCTGTTATATTTGGAGGCTAGTTGGCTGATTACTCACTTCAAGCCTTTTTATTTAATCTAGTATTCTCTTAAGGATTTTTTGGGATGGGATTTGAAGTTATGGCCTCCTGTTTGATCAACAGGCACTCTACCACTTGGGCTGTAACTTCAGCCTGGCTTTTTTTGCTGATGATTTTGGAAAATAGTATCTCAGGACATTTTTGCCTAGGCTGGCATTTGAACCTCAGTCTTCTGAATCTCAGCCTCTTGATTAGCCAGGATTATAGATGTGAGCCACTGGTGCTTAGCTCTTATAGGATTTCTTTCTTTCTTTCTTTTTGCAGTTGTGGGGCTTGTACTCAGGCCCTGGATATTGACCCTGAGCTCTTTTTCTCAAGGCTAGCACTCTATTACTTTGAGCCATAGCTCCACTTCCGGTTTTGTGGTGATTAATTGGAGGTAAGAGTCTTATGGGGACTTTTCTGCCTGGGCTGGCTTCAAACCGTGACCCTTAGATCTCCGTCTCCTGAGTAGCTAGGATTACAGGTGTGAGCCACTGGTGCCCAGCTCTTAGAGGATTTTTAAGCCACCCAAGAGCTAGCAGTACAAGACCCTGAGTTCAAACTCCAGTACTGCCCAAACAACAACAAAAGACCAAATATTCTAACCCAGTTTAGAAATT